CATCTTCTCTCCCTCCCACTCTCTAGCGTCACCTAGCCGCTTTGAATCTAGGTCGTCGATGATCGGTTCCAGCGTGGTCCGAGCCATGGTTGAAGGAGAGTGGATACTTTCAATAGCAGCATGGCGTGGAGAGGGGAAGCAAAGGAATCAATGATGGCCCTATGCCATTGCATGGAAGAGGACAACAAAGAGAAGCGATATGATGGGTGTGCTCACATGGTGGACCAACGAGATTTTTTGCCTTCCTCACTCTTGCACGTCTTCAATCTAATTTTAGAGCTAGTAGAGAGGTAGGGACATGAAGGAGTTTGTGATTTATGATGATTGGCTCCATAGATAAATAATATGGATGCAGTAGTTTCATTTCATAGAGGGAAGACTAGATTTCTAGTTTCAAATCTCGACATGCAACAATGTTTGGGGAGCGCTTGAGGCATGGGTGGCGCAAGAGGTGAAGTGCAAGGTGACAAAGGACACATAATGATGCATGGCTAAAGCATTGCCTAAGCTTTCCATGGGGTGCTTAGGTCCTAAGCTTTCAATGCGGATCTGATGGGACACTTTGGTTGTGTTTTGATAGACAATAAGGAGATCGTTGATTTAATAGTGTGGATAATGTGACTTCATGAAATTGCAGAGAAATCTCCTAGTGGGGTTCTCCTATTTAGGTATAGTAGATTACATGCAATGAGATAGTGTGAGAAATCAAGGGTGGGCATACCCTGATCATTATTCGTGAGACTAAGGGTGTGTTTAGTTCTCTTCCACTTATTTCCTCTCATATTTCCCAAACAATATCTAACATGTGGCCCAAGATTTGTTCATTACACATTATGCAAGGTTTGGCAAAAGTACAAGACTATGCCTATAACAAGCTAAGTATATAACCTAAAGTGTGTGGGAAGCCACAATTGCAGCACAGGACCAAGCATTCGATTAAGAAACCATGGAAATCCTAACATTTGGTGTTCAATGTTTGGTTTTCAACTAAACCAAATGAAGTATAACTTATAAGTAGCTCAAATAAAGACTAATCTTAGATGGAAGGGATAGTCATATATATATGTAAGGACATGGTTACAAAATGTCCACTATAACCAACATTGTGTTGATCTAGAGTCCCTACCATTAATTAAGACTCAAGCAACAATTAATATGTATATGACGATCAATGCCGCTTCTATATAAAGGGTAAAGGCATTTACTTTTTTGTAAGGAGCAATACTAGAAATTTGCACATCTATGATGAAATAGTCACATCATGGAAGATACAAATTTCTTCATAAATACATTTTATGATAAATTTATGATGGAATTTATTTTTTCACATAACTCATGTCACATAAGTTCCAATATGAATAAATGGTAAATTTGATGAAATGTCTTTCATCGTCATATAATCGATCCCATTTTATGGAAAAATAGTAACGTAGTAATTTCCCCTTGATCATATATCAAGCCCATTTTTGTCATATAATTACCTTCTAGTTCATCTAGAGATGGCAATAAGGCAGGGTGATGCCCTTGTTCTCACCCCGATCCCCAAAAGTTGTCCTCGCCATATCTCAAATGACGAACCAAGGCAAAAATACTCACTAGTCCTAACCATGTCTGGTCCCCGAACCCCATTTGAGGCCTCATAGAAACCTTCCCTCTTCAACACATATGCAACATCCGTACATTAATCAAGAAAAAATAACCAAACTCCTAGCATACATAAAAAAACAAAGAAAGCAAACACACAATTGGCTAGATGCACAAGTCAACATGCGATAAATTCCCATTCATGGGTATGTATGGCCAGTGACACTTTATTGGAATTAAATGATTGCGTTAGAAGCCGAGGTTCATCCACGCCACAACAACACCCTCCTCGGTGCATGTGAAAGGTTCTAAATGGCTAGAAGGAGGTGAATAGCCTATAAAAATTTCTACAAGTACACTAGAGCAACTTCGTTAGTCAACTAAAAGGTGAAAATTGTTTTGCTCTAGCCCTACTCAAAAGGCAAGCCACCTATCAACAATTCTAGTTAATTATGATCACTAAGCACCCAATGGCTATGTCACTACTCTCTACACTAGTTGAGCTAGCTAGAAACTAATTACAACTAATTAAACTAAGCTACTCAACTAGCTAAGCTACCACTAGCTCTACACAAGATAAATAAGAAATGTAATGCAAGAGAGAGGTAGTGATGATATACCGAGCCAGGCAAGAGATCAATCAAAGAATATCAATGAAATCCATGGAGATAAGATGACACAATGATTTTTCTCCGAGATTCACTTACTTGCCGGCAAGCTAGTCCCCGTTGTAGTGATTCACCCACTTAGAGGTTCATGTGCTTATAGGCTTCACACGCCTAACCCACAACCGGGTGCTACACAACCAACACAAGATGGGGATCCATAAGCTAGCTACAAGCAATCCACTAGAGTTGTCTTTCGTGATCTCCCATGGGGAAGGCATAAGAACCCCTCACAATCACCACAATCGGAGCCGGCAACAATCAATAATAGCCGCTCGACAATCCTCCATTCACCAGGCCTCCTAGGTGTCAGCAAACACCAAGAGTAATAAGAATTCCACCAACCCAAATCAACCAACTAGTGCCACAAGACGCAAAACCACTATGCAATGCACTAGAGGTTCTCCAATCTCACTCAAATGATGAAATCAAGTGTGAATGTGAGTGGAGTGTGTTTGCTCAGCTCCCAAAGGGTTTACTCAAATGTATGAAGTGCCAAGAGAGTGGCCAAGACCAACCATCACCTCTATTTATAGCCACACAAGCAAATAGAGCCGTTATACCCCTTAGGACAGATTCTGTGAGGTCACCGGACAAGGCAGTGTGCCACCGCCCTAGGGGTGGCGGTGCCCCAATGGTCCAATCCTAACAGCTAAAAAACTAGCCGTTGGATCACCGGACAGGGTGGCGGTGGCACCGCCCTAGGAAGGCGGTGACCAACCTAGCCAAATGACGATGCTCCTATGCAATACTCCTTTAGCTTTATTTCTTCGCATCTCCTCGTCCGAGCTTTGTTCAACTTGATGTCTTGAACTTCTTCCATGTGTTCTTTGATCTTCAATAAAGCGCCTTGTTCTTCCTTGAGGTGTTGATCACTTTGATCTTCATGTTGCCTTTATCTAAATCCATCCTTGCATCTAAATAAACTAACCTTATACTAGCAAACATATTAAGGTCGGTCACCTAACCACCAACTCACAAAGACCCTACATGTATGTAATGGGAAAAATATCTTAATTGAGCGTGTATGTGGCATCAACATTAGTTATCGACGGTTGCAAATTTTGTACGGAATTGATGTACAGCGGGTGTCCAGATGGGGACGGGCGCACCCGACCCGCACCGAACCAACTCACCTGTCTCTCTCGCTCCTCCTTATCCTTTCCTCGAGCCACACTCCCGCGGCGCTCGCACTCCCATTCTACTACCGCACCCTTGCCCGCCATGACGAACACCACTCACCGACCGCCCCGCTCGCCCGCCGGTGCTCCCCCCTCCCTCTCTCCCCCTCCACGACCTGCTAACCCGCGCCACCAATGACCCGGGTCCCGATCCCCCACCAGAGACGAGGACAACGACGGTAGCACCAACGAGGTAGGTTGTTCCTCCTCTGGATCTGAGACCTCCTCCTCGTCTAGATCTGAGGAATCCGGCGACCTCTGTGATCTTGTCCCCTCCTCCCTCCGACGAGCTCGAAGGGGATGGGCCTGGGGCTAGAGCAGCCTGCACCTCGAACCCATCCCCTTGTTGTTTTTATACGCCTTTTTTGTTGTTTCTCCGTGTTGCAGGGGGGGTTTTGGATGTTGCAACATATGATTTTTGTATGTTGCAATAGGTGATTTCATGTGTTGCAGAAAAGGGATATAATGTTGGGATTATTGCAATAGGGGATTTTAATTGTTGAAATTACCTTTTCTAAATGTTCCAGCACTAAAAGGTGATTTTTGAGATGTTTCCATTTCCATGTTTTCTGGTTGATTTTTGCGATCTTGCAGTACTACTGTTTTAGATGTTGTAGTACAAATTTTTCAATGTTGCATTACATAATTTCCTATGTTGCAGTATATTTTTTCGTTGTTGCACTACATAGTTTTGTGATGTTGCAGTATTTATATCCCGATATTGCACTATATTTTTTGCGATGTTGTACTTGAAAGTGTTTCGTGCTCTTGGGACAGAGGGCGCGGTGGGGTAACGGGGTGCGGTGGGGAACGAGGACAGGGGCGCCATGGGAATGGGGCACGGTGGGGGACAGGGGGCGCGGCGCGGATGGCGGCACGGTGGGGGGAATGAGCCACGCGCGAGCAGCTAAGGAATGGGCCGCCGCGACGAGCGTGGGCGGACGCTCTCGCTCGTATCGCTCTGAATCGAATTGTTACGTTGTGGTGGTTGGTCGGGATCGAATGGTTACGTTACGGGCTCTGGATTGGACGGTTCCTAGTGGGTTCGTCGAGATCAAATCGAATGGCGCCGAGGTGCGTCCGGACGTGCGTTCGCGCCGGACGCTAGGTGCGTCGAATTTTGTACTACCTTCGTCCCCATAAAAATACAATTCTAGGACGGTGTCACGTTTTAATACCTTAAATTTGATTAATTATAGATAAAAAAGTATTCATGTTTCAATCAAATTAATTACGAAATAATTTTTTATAATAAATTAATTTAAAAACATAACTATGAATATTATTTACTAAAAACTTATCCACTTTTCGTGACACCCAAGCCATACTTGCATTCTTATCGGATTAGTATTATGGATGGTTCAGGTTGCTCCGGTAGTACCAGATCAAAACAAAAGAAACTAATAAAGAAAGAAAAAATAAATAATGTGTTCAAATGAAAAAGAAAAAAAAAGGAAAAAAAAAAAGAAACAGAATGGCAGAAAACCTAAATGAGAAGTCAGCGGAAAGGGTAAAGAACTAGAGCATCGCGTGGAGAGAGGAAGGCGGCGGCAGCAGCGGCCGGTGGGAGATGTCGATCCTGTGGGAGAAGAGCGCGGGGTGGCGATGGCTGGTTCGGCGGACGCGTGACTCGAAGCCCTTCTTCTTCACCTTCGCGGCGCTGTGCAGCGTCGTCCCCGGCGTTATCGGCTACGGCGTGATGCGGCTCACCAGCTCCCGCAACGAGCAGCTCGAGGCCCACCTTCGCTCCACGGCCCGACCCGAGACCACGGTGCGTGTTAGCGCTTCCCTCGTACAGATCCCACCGTGGTCGATGGATGCTATTACTGATTGTTACTCTTATAAATTATGCTCTGCGATAGTGCGATTTGAGATCACTGTTTGTGGATCTAAGGTTGATTGGTCGATCTGGTTTACATGTTCAATCAGTTTCTCACTTGAAATTCATGAATTTCAAATACACGGCAGCATGTTTGAGGGATTGATGGAACTGAACTAGGGTTTGGGCCCTATCTTTTGAGGGATACATAGACTGTGTAGCTATCATGGGAATGTTCCAGGTGGTGCTTCTTTTTAACTTTTCTTGTCTTGCATAGTATTTTAATAGGATTCTATAGGTTTTAGGATGCCTGGACCAGATTGGTTTACTTGACTGCATCTGACTGGCTGCCTCTGGTTTCCAGACTAAGGGGGTGTTTGGTTCTTTAGTCGCTCCTAAAATTCATGTCACATCGAATGTTTAGATACTAATAAGGAGCATTAAATATAGATTAATTACAAAACCAATTACATAAATGGAGGCTAATTTCCGAGACGAATTTTTTTAAGACTAATTAATCTATCATTAGCACATGTTTACTGTAGCACCACGTTGTCAAATCATGGACTAATTAGGCTTAAAAGATTCGTCTCGCAAATTAGTCGCAAGTTATGCAATTAATTTCGTAATTAATCTATATTTAATACTCCATGCATTTGTCCAAACATTCGATGTGACAGGAATTTTAGGAGTTCCTGCAGGAACCAAACAGCCCCTAAGATGTTAGCTGTGATAGGTGCCAACTATTGGTTGTATTGGTTGGAACAGTTGAATCCATTCCATTTACAGTTCAGGTTAATAATAACTGTACCTGCCAGCCAACACATGAGCGATGATTAGTGGCAAACCAGCTAGCTTTGGTTCTCCTTTTTTTTTAACATAACTGGTGAATATTATTATTGATGGTTAGTCAATGTGTCAAAAGCAGCATAAGCGTGCCTTATTTCTGCCAGCTCTCTGTAAACTTAAATCTTTGTTGCAGTGTGAACACACCCATTATTGGTAGTGTAGTGCAACAGTTGTGCGATTATAGTTCTTTGCATAGAAAGGGAATGACCCAAGCAATAACAATTATTAGTGTTAGAAATAATAATCAAATGTCAACAGTTGTATTGTTAGACAATCCAAGCGTTGTTCTTATCTGTTCTAGGGTAAATGGGTACCTCAACATCTATGTGTATTAGTAATTTTGGCTAAAGACATTGTTATGCTCATGTTGAAGTCAGGGGTGCCCTGTTGTTACAATGCTTATTCCCAATAACCAGGTAGTGTATGAATCAAGTGCTAGTAATATTGAGGAATTGAGGAATCAATCAATATATTTAGTTACAAGACGTGGAGCAAATATTCAAGACACATAGTATTTCAGTTTTGTGTTGTTTCAGTAGTCAACTCTCTTGTTGTATGTTCAAACTTGCTTTTAGAGCTATTGCTGCAATGTCTACGTATAAGCAGGCTGCAGGAGGAAGATACTGGTCTTCTGTAGAGCGTATATTAATACACCTGCCACTATTTTTGTTTTTTCTTCTGCTGCTGGTGCTGGTCAGTCCATTTGACCATTTATTTTACTTTGGATATTATTCATATTGGGACTGGCAGAGTTGATGGCTTTCCTCATAGCCACAGATGCCAAAATTTGCTGAGTCTAATATTGGAGCATTTAGCATTCAAATTGTGTTGTGTATGTCTTGATAGTGCTATCTAGCTTTCTTAGGTATGCATGGTTGTTGGCTCTTGTGCCATGGTGGTTTATTGGTTTTTGGTTCATCAAAACAAAATTTCATCTGATTCATGATTTGAATCCACATATTTGTGTAAAATAATTCATCTGCGCAACCCAAGCAGCTTGCTGCTGTGGAGCTTTGTTCCCATGGCGTACCAAAAACCAAATCAGATGGCTCACTGCTGTTTTTCTGTTTCTATAGTCCACTAAACAATGGAACTAACCATCTAGCAGCCTGAGCTCTTGCTTTCACAGACTTTAGTTTTGAGGAGCTCGACGATCAAATCATAGTTAAGGGAACAAACAAGTGGTTTTGGAGAATTAAGGGGGTGGGGTGGGGATGATGGGAAGTTCATTAATATGTGCAAAAGCGCTTGCTTGTTTTTTGAGGGCTTGAATCCTGTTGACAAATTAACAGTGTAGAGAGACAAGCAATCCCTTTTGGGAATCCTGAGTTCATGAGTCCTGACCACCATGAACCAATGGCCAGCACAGACAGGTAGTGGACAGTTGAGGAGGGGCTTTATGGTTGGCTGTCAAGTATGTTCAGCTCCTTGCCGGTGTTTAGGATAGAGGGATAGATGCACTGCCCATTTTGAAGATTTCCTTAGTTTTTGCATTCAGGGCTGTAGAAATTGATTTGAACACCTAGTAATAGTTAACTATTCTTGTTACCTGGGATTCATGGTGAATCAGTAGCTTATAGTTGCCTGCCTAGGAATGATTACTATTTATACCATTATTGAAAGTTCCAGCTTACACCCATTACTGATGCTTATGTGGTGCATGTTAGTTAGCATGAAAGGCACTAGCAGACATGCCAGTTTTCTTGGGAGGTGTTTATGACACATTGTATTACTGGTTTACTACTTGCCAAACAAATAAAATTTGCTATGCTTAATCATTTACTCATTTGCATCCTTTTTATTTTCTTTCCACTTTGTATGCAAGTTGTTTTCTTAATGTTCTGTTGTGCTATCAAATGTTTACATTTGTGATTCCGTGGTCACTGATGATAAACACGTGGCAAACAGATGATGGGGCAAGTAAACAGGGAGCGACTTGCGGAGTTTCTTGGCGAGCTGCAACGGAAAGAGGACACGAACGACAGATACGTCGCCGCGCTGAAGGGTGAAACCCTGACCAGGAAGCGCTACGAACGCATTTTGGCCGTGCCTGCCAGCGTCCAAGCGAGCCAGGAGACGACCGCCAAGGCCAGTGCGGAGGAGAAACCCAAGGCAAAGTGATTCACTAGTAAGATGCGCCCTGGTCAAATCACTCACTGAACATACACCTGCTTGAGCATCATATAAACAGTCAACGCCTGTGAACGTCATTGCACTCGAGTATTTGACTCTTCTGTTTTAAACGCTGCTGCTGTTAGCAGCTGTAAATTTTTGGTTGTCTGCGTGTGAGACTGGTCGAATCTTTGGGCGGCTCAATGGATTGCTATTAGCAGCGCTCTCGGTTCTGCCGAGACTCTTGTGTCTGTGTGTGGTCGCATTGTTTTGGCTGGTGGATTTAGTACTAGAACACATGGTAAAAAGCTTGTCCGTGTCCTGTAAGAAGGCGTCTTCCGTTTCTGTTTGGCTGGCTGGCTGGCTGTGGAATTTTCCTCCACGCAAAGTCACAGACGTACTGTACTGGGTCCGACAGACCGTACAAAAGCTGACGATGAGCACAAAGACGGGAGCCGGGAGCATCAGATTCGTGGCGCCGGCGATCTGCTCTTGCCTCGCCTTGGGTGTGGGTTGAACGAATCTGCCTTGGCGTGCAGGCGTGCCTCGTGCCCGACGCGGCAGATGCCCCGGCCCAGGCCAGACCAGTCGAAGCGTGCGTGGATTACGGGATCAGATGAGATCATGAGATCAAAGCTGGTTCAAAGGCTTGTGATCCTCTTTTATCGCTGTATCCTGAGACCTGAGTAGGTAGGTTCCGTGACCCCAGCACTCTGGACGGTGTCGATGCCATGCCACTGACACTTTTTACTTTTAGCGATCGATTGCTGCTAGTACTTCAGTTTGATTGTTTGCTTATAGCGTGTCAATCAATAGGCACAAGCCTGGAATGATTGCTCTATAGTTACTGTACATGAGAGGAGCTGGTACTGGGTGGATATGGACGCTTGAGGGTGACATCTTTCTTGGCAAAAGTAGGGACAATTGTCCTGCGGAAAAGATTAAAGACAAGGACACATTTGCATCACCTCCATCCCGTCGAATAGATTCTACATCGAAGAGGTCCCCTGCTTGATAATTCCATTGTACTACCTGTGGTAGTGACAGATTCGGCGTTGTTACCCAAGCCACCACCACGAAGCAACACAATATCCGTAGGATGGGCGAGTACGAGTGCGTATACCCCAATCGTGTATACATACATACTGTTTGCTTCGCCGGAAAAAGGATTCTCTCAAAATCGATTATATACTACTATACTCATAATCCTATGCCTACTTGGTTTGCTAATCTCAGTGTCAAGTCCCAATATGACTAATTAAAATCCTCGTTTACACTCAACTGACTGTTTCAAAGCAATTAGATCAACATCCGACAGGTTAAATACGTTATTCCTGTACACTATACTCCGTACTAACAGCATCTCTAACGTATTATTCATCTGATCCACAATACCAAAAAGTTGTCATATAGGTAATTTCTTGGTCTCTAACAGATTACCTAACCTATTACCAATATCTAGAATTTTTGAGTAATCACCAAAATACACCCATGTCTCAGTTAAATATAGGAGACACAGTACCCTCCCCTATCCAGTTATTTTTATGGCAAGAAGTTTCTATCGGCTGGTGGAAGAAAGAGGGAGTTTAAACTTACTGGAGCTCTTACAATCCAGCAGTGTCGGCATCACATTGACCTTGACGACTTAGACCTAGGACCGCGAGCTCGCCAACTCACCACAACCACCACCGCAGCCGCCTCCTCCGCAATCGCCTCTACCACCACAGTAGCAAGTGCTTGTTGACCAAGAGAGGGCACAACTAGGAGGAAGAGGGAGCTGCTGGCCCAGGTGAAGAGGGAGCGATGAATCTACCCATGCACAAGTAGGTGGAGCTCCTTGTCATCGTGAGCTCGAGTGGCCCTCGTGGTGGAGAAGGGGTCGAGGGTGGCGGCGGTGGAGGGGCCCCACTTGCTTTTTTTTGCCATGAGAGATTAGAGGCCCTGCTAGGTTAATTTGCATTAGTTACAACAATGGATAGTTCTTTAGTTTTGAAAAAAAAAACCCAAAGATAAATCCTTTAAGGACTTGACAACATGTAGAGAGCTGAGAGCCACACACAAAAGAAAATGAAAGCTCGTAGATGACTAGCGGCTCCATAAACATGGTAGTATGTTTTCCCCAATCGGTGAGTTAAGCCTCTTCCTCCTAACTCAATTAACACAAAAAATTCAAAGGTGAAACTGAAATACATAAACCTAGCGGCG